CCCTATCCCCCTGTGTAAGTGTGTGCGCGTGCGAAGTGCTTCCCGCCATTATGTTTCTATTTGTCTGCCAGCACAAGAAAGACACATACATCATTAAAGGCTTCAAATGTATTCAGTATTGTATGAACATAATTGGTGGTTGGACATCACATCCTCTATGGGGGTCCGGGGGTATGCCCCCCCGGGAAGATTTGTTTTTACATTTTAATATAAAATGCTTCAATCTGGTGCACTTTGAGCACACAATGACTAGAGACTAGATCTAACTCTAAACACCCATATGAAAAAGATCGTTTTACATTTTAATAATCAAATAATTGAACATACCAATAAACTACCATAGCCAATAACACATATGTAACTTATTTTATTTTTGTTGTTCATTTACATCACTTTCATCAGGCAATTTTTTAGTTTAATATCAGATGTCAAAAGAGCATGGCACCTAGTAATGAATGTGCCAAATGTCTCCACTTCGTTCCACTGCCCCAGTGACTTGAATATCTTGGGTTCTGCCACCCTTCATGCAGATCTAGATCCCTCCGCTTCGCGTCGGGCTCCTGATCAGCCTGTCGGGTGTTCTTTTCCCCATAATGACCGCGTCGCTGCACATTATCCCTTACAAACTAGCTAAGTTAGCTAGATGTAATTCATTCTTAACTGTAGGCTTTTATCAAAGTATTAATTTACTTAATCTAAATGTAACAACATTTTAAATTATAATAACTTACATTTATGGCGTTATGACCTTCTTCTTGAGGTGATTGTGTCCAAATAAAGTTATGTCTGCTTCAACTTGCTGTTGTCTGTCTTGTCAGGCAGTTTTCCTTCAGCTCTGAAAATGACAGCTTTCCCGCGTATCGGTGGCTCGAAGTTGCCGCGAGCGCTAGGGGGCAGCACTTATAATTCTTTTAATATAAAAAAAAAAAATTATTATTTTTTTTTTTTATCTGCTTGGGGGCTTGCGCCCCCTAGCAGCGGCGCGCATATTTCAGCCGCTGCTGAAAACATATAGGGGAAACACTGCATACACATTGTCAGAAGCCTCTTCTTCGTGACTAAATGCCAGCTTCCTCCTGCGCACTAATATGGTAGAAAGTAAATAGTTCCCACATGAAGCTGCTCTCACCACGGTCTGTGGCTGATCTGGGTGAGGAAACCACAGGCGTGATGCCTAGGTCTGTTGTGATGGAGAGAAAGCAGACATGTATACAGCCTATATCTCCAACACTCTGTAACTTACAGCAAAACTATTTCAATTTTATAACGTTTCTTTTAAAGGTTTAGAGGGAAAATAAATGTTATAAATCAAATGATTATTTTTTGCACATTACATCTGCAGACTTTTTTCACCCTTAATAGTGCATAAACTACAGATAAGAAAGTGTTATGTTGTTGTATTGGCCATAAGAGGCATGTACTATCGAAACTGGCAGAAAAAAAGGTTGTCGCTCTTTCCTAAATAGATTTTCTTCCCCTATTCTCTCCTCCGCCCCTTCAGAGATCTGCGCCGTCTCCCGGATCTCCAAGAAGGAGATCGGCAGATGCTTCAAGCTGATCCTGAAGGCGCTGGAGACCAGCGTGGACCTGATCACCACCGGAGACTTCATGTCCCGCTTCTGCTCCAACCTGGGCCTGCCCAAACAGGTGCAGATGGCGGCCACCTACATCGCTAGGAAGGCGGTGGAGCTGGACCTGGTGCCCGGCAGGAGCCCCATCTCTGTGGCTGCAGCAGCCATCTACATGGCCTCCCAGGCCTCCGCCGAGAAGAAGACCCAGAAAGGTGAGGGCCGCTGTGATCACACTGTTCAGGGACACAGGTTGTATTGATTTAAATAAATCACACTTAAATATTCACTTATACTGGTAGAATAGGTCCTTGTAGGCCAACGTTTTTGCACCCAGTCCTGAAACTACAGAACACTATTTGGGCCAGGCATGAGGGGGGAGAGGGTAGATTCGTATGGGCTCAGAACAGTCTCATAATACACACATGAACACAGAAGGATTCACACTTGTATTTCATGGTCCGCAAAAGGATTCACAAATGTGTTCCGTTTCATATACATGTAAATAAAATCCAAACACAGAAAAAAGTTTTACATATGTATTTTTGATCCAAACATATTTGTTTTCCGTTTAAATCCCCTGAACCTGCAAACACAAACCGCTTTCTGTGCACGGATCGCTGTGCATTCGTGTGTGGGTTCTTTGAGACTCCCCTGACGCTCACCCGATTCGTACTTGTAATTTCTCTCATCTATAGCCAATCAGATGTCTCCTCCAGTCTAAGCCAATCACATGAGCACGAGGGTAGGATTTATTGCGTTCATGACGTATCGCTTCATATACGCATTTTGTGCAGTCCGGTCAGCTCGCTAAACAGAGAGCGGAGCATCAGGTGATCATGCAGAGCTGCGTGTCTCCGTCAGACTCAGCATCTGATCTGATCTCTCTCTCGCGTCCGGTTATACTTCACTCGCGTTTATGGCCATATCGATCAGATCCAGCTCTCCTGATCGGCCTTTATAGAGAGCACCGATCAAACTATTAAGAGTGAATATCGGCCGATAATGACCGGCGGGGCTCCCCACGTTGACAGTTCACTGTCTAGCACTGGCTTCGTAGTGCACTGATCGATTAGGCTAAGCTAACCTAACCTGTATCTGCTCCCTCCACACTCACAACAACTTCATACAGACATAAATAAAGCAGCTGTATTCGCCATACAGGAAACACACATTTAAAACGGTTTTGCCTGCCGTTTTTGTGTACACACATATATTTATATTCATCAATGGTTCGGAAAGTGGCGTTGTACCGTAATAATATAAAGGCATGTATTTGCCTGCATTTCCTGTTCGGAAAGTTGCAATGTACTGAGATTAGCGCCTGCAGGCAGGCTCCATGGACCTGTCAGCTCCAGACTGCGCAAAATGCGTATATGAAGCGATACGTCATGAACGCAATAAATCCTACCCTCGTGGGGCCGCGCTCATGTGATTGGCTTAGACTGGAGGAGACATCTGATTGGCTATAGATGAGAGAAATTCCAAGTGCGAATCGGCGGGGAGTCTCAAAATCTCACACACAAATGAACAGCGATCCATGCACAGAAAGCAATTTGTGTTTGCAGGTTCAGGGGATTTAAACGGGAAACAAATGCGTGGATCAAAAATACATATGTAAAACTTTTTTCTGTATTTGGATTTTATTTACATGTATATGAAACGGAACACATTTGTGTGTGCATTGAAAAACACAAGTGTGGATCCGAAAATACAAGTGTGAATCCTTCTGTGTGCATGTGTGTATTATGAGACTGTTCTGAGCCCATAGATTCGTGGTAGAGAAACTCCCTCTGAAGGGAACACAGGGATGTTTGCAGACCATTTACATGCACTAAAACCTATAGAACACACTACAGGAGAGTGGAAACCCAAAAATCTACTAGATAAATGTAGTGGAGTACATACTGCAATAAAATAAGTGAAGTGAATTCTCACAAAGGCGGTAGTTGAGGGAAATGCATCACTCGAGGTAGAGTTGTTCATTTAACACCTGTGGTCTCAATATTAAAATGGGTGATGCTGAGTCAGCAGTACGCCCTAATGGTCTCATATAAATGTCTGTAAAGCTTCCTCATGCTGGTCTGGATGGGATGCCTCTAGCAGTTTATATCTGAATGAATCTAAACTATGATGCTTCCACAGAAATCGGGGATATTGCCGGCGTCGCAGACGTTACGATCCGACAGTCATACCGCCTCATCTACCCCCGCGCCGCAGAACTCTTCCCTACAGACTTCAAATTCGACACACCAGTCGACAAGTTGCCTCAACTGTGAAGCCTGCGTACCCCCCCAAACAGCCTCGATATTTCTGTGCTGTGCTTACAGGATTGTATTCTTTCTTTAAAATCGTATTTGTGTTGGATTCGGAAGACTTCTTGCCTTTGCCGAGGCGCCCTCACAGGAATAAAACGGACACATTCCAGTGCTTAAAAACCAATGCTTGCAGACTGTATATATGTCCAAGTGGGAACATGCATTTGATGCTTGCAATTTTAGGCTGTTTTCATATTGTAAACATAAAACTTAGTTTTTTGTAGAAAAATGACCTGGTTCTATTCTGTTAGAATTGTTCCAAGTAATTTAAAAAATAAATACAAGATTTTCATCAAAGCATGGAAATCAGCTCATGGTTTGAATAAAATTGTTGTTCTTTTCTACTCTGGTCAATTACACATAAAAGACAGGTTGCTTTCAATATCAGAAATCCACTATTACAAATGTTTAATTTGTGCATCATGATGGGCAACGACTGCAGAAACAACTTTCTCTTTTTATACACCAGGGCGAGCAGTTGTGACATGAGTATTGGTGTACCATTCATAACGTTTTTCATCTGTTCTGGCAACATGCACAAGCGAAGAATACAAAAAAAAACTTTGTACAATCTATTTTCATTAAGAAACGTAGATAATTAAAAACTATTGATAAAATTAGTGCTCTCAGCTTAATTGTGTACATACAGTATGTATATATAATATACCTGCCCCCCTGTAGTGATTCATATCAACAGGCCTCTGCTTATATGCAACAAGTCACCAGCTGGTTCCACTGTGGGAGCATTTCAATGGCATGTCCAGAAAAACAACTCCACCATTGTCTTCGCTCCATCATCAGAGGTTTCCTTTACCCATGAGGAGTTTGTATTCTGCTTCAAGAGGGACAGGACGCATTTGGTTTGGTTAGCTTTTAACTGAGCGACTCACTTTGACTGAGGTAACAAGAAAATGCTGTCAGGACCTTTACAACAAGCTGTTCATTCAGGAAAAATTAAATTAAAAAAAGATTGAAATACAACTAAACTCTCGCCAGAAGAAAAAAAGAATGAATAGTTGTTGGATCTTTAGAACTGAGTTTAGGTGGATGTCTATTGAGGCAGCAGAAACAGACAAAATAATCTTTAGCATTAGCTCTTCTTGACAAATGCTTTTTCTAAAGTCCTAATTTAACAAATAAAACCAAGTATTGGTTATTAGTGTTAAACTAAATAGAATCTGTTATGTGGGTTTTGCAGAAAAGGAACCAAAAAGGAAATGTAGTGTAAAGACTGTTCCTTTTACTTCAAGTGAGGAAGCAGCAGTAGTAGTCAGGATGGGTGTTGTAGCTCAGTGAGAATGCTTTGAGCACACTTTAAATCCACTGAACAGCCGGCAGAAATGTCAACTTTTGAGATAAGACATACTTAAATGATTGAGGGCTTTGCAAGTAAGAGGAACATCAAATATATATGACTGAATATAATCTGTACAGATCCAAAAATACTGGATAACATGATTGTGATGCCGTCTCCTCGGAGTTCATATGAAAAACATTCTCAGTGGTCAGACAATGGACACGAAGACATGCGCAGAAGGACGAAGCTTCACTCTCCGACAACAGAGTTTCTCTTGTTTTCTTAAAAAAAAAGTTCTTCATGTGGATTAAAAAAACATGTGGAGCTTCTTCTCAATGGCAGAAAGCTTGCGGCTCCTCTTCAACGTTTTGGACGACGAACACTTTTTTAAGGATGGTGTGAGCTATAGTCCTCGCTGCGCTGGTGTGTTTGTGGTTTGTGGGGTCCGGTGGAGCTAACACCAGTCGGCGATGTAATCAAAGTCAGAGAACATATTCTGCTCGTCCGAGTTGAGCGGCCGAGGCTCCCGGGGCGGGGTCAGGATGGGGGCTTCAGAGGTAAACTCGTCGTCGAAGTTGCTGACGTCGTTGGTGCCCTGGATGGTCGGCACGAACGGGGGCTTCACCTTCTTCGCTAACAGCCCGTTCCAATCCATGTTCTGACAGAAAGACAGAGAGAAACATTAGGGGGTTTGTTCAGTTCAGAGCGTCCAGTTCGATTGTGATTATATATTATTATCATACTGCGAGCACTTCATATCCCTCCACTTGGGACCCTGTCCTCTATTTCCCAGTGTTGTGCGACTTTGAAAGAAATTAGCTTCTGCAAAATCAGTGCACTTCACGTTTCTTGTGCCTCTTTCTTAGCGTTTTCAATGCCATGCAATTTATAATAGACATCGGCGCTGGAATTCGGGGGCAACTTGATAATGTGATGAATTTGCGTGAAATTTTTTAAGGTTAAGGTTTCTAGATCAACCGGACCGTTAATGTCCTAACAACGACAGCTCTGCTATCAATATGGGATATAGAAAGATGTAGTGCCTCCTGCTTATCAGAGTGTAGCAATTAAAGGGTGTTTCATGTTGTCGTTGCTGTGGACCTTCTTAAAACCTTGGAAAATGCCGTTTAATACTTTTTAATAGCCTTACATTTCGCTAAATTGATTTATCAACTTTCAATACTTTTTAAGACCCCGCGGACACCCTGGTATTGAATGTGTGTGCGCATACAGGGGCGCCGTTTGCCGACAGGCAAGGCAGGAAAGTGCTTGGACCAGAAGGGGGCCCACAAAGAAGGTAGATTAAGAAGGTCCACAGCAACGACAACATGAAACAACCTTTAATTTACTGCATCGACATGTCGGGGAAACCCCCTCAAGGGGGCCCCATGCATAGCGCACCGTAAGAAACTGCTTCTTAATTTCAGTTTCGATGCTCCGCTCCGGGGGGGGGGGACTTTACTGGCATTGATCCGGGCCAGTGACCTTGCATACAATTCACAAGTGGACCTTTAATAAAAAAGTTTGAGTACCCCTGCCCTAGAGGATGTGTCGTCAACCCCCCAATTCAAACATGTTCATACAATGCTGAATACATCTGAATCCATTTTGATGTATATTACCTATGTCAATACGTTTCTGTTTTTGTAGTGTATTTGTCTTTTGTACAGATTTTTCCTTTATTCTTGATATATAAAATCTCACCTAGGGCTATGACTCCATCCTAGGGGAAACACTGAGGCTATAGCTAAAGTTAGAGGATAATTGAAATGCAAGCTCATTGAAATATAGGATAGTTTGCTAGCACAGCCTTTCCCAAACTCTGGGTCGCCAGTTAAATGCATTGCTACACATTTGCGTTGCAAATACAATTTTTTTTATATTTTTGTATTTTATTTTGAAAATGAAATTATGCAATATTGAATGATTTAATTTTCTAAATACAAATAAACTAAAAATAAAAGATTGTATTTGTATCAGGTCTGACGCGTCCCCCGCGAAAGTTTGTTTATTGTCTGTTGATTAATCCCGATCGTACATGATGGCAAAAAGAAGATACAAAGAGGAGTTTTTAAACGTTGGCTTCACAAAAGCTGTTAGAAATGGAGAGGAGCGGCCTCAGTGTGTTTTATGTGGAGAGGTGCTCAGTAACGAAAGCTTGAAAATGAATAAATTGGACCGGCATCTCCAAACAAAACATCCTCTGCATCGGGACAAATCGAAGGATTTTTTCATCTGCAAAGAAGAGTCGTTCAAGAAGCAGTGTTTTGACGGCGGAAAAGTAAGTCACTCATTTTAATCATTTGTTTTGTGTTTTTGTGAGTTTGTCAGGGTCTGTTGTGAAATTGTTTCATTAATGCAAAGTTGGATGAAATGCCGACTGAGCCCCGGAGCGGACCGCAGCTGCGCGCTCCCGCGCTCTACTCGCTCCCGCGAGTCCACTACATTCTGCAGCGGCATAGAGCGGTGTTTCAACTTTTACTAGCCTGAAATGTTTTTAAAACGGCCGGGAGAAAAACAATAACCACAGGAAGATTAGAGGGAAAGTGACAGGCAGTAAGAGAAGGAAAGCGAGAGAAAGTATCAGCCGCACGGACGTGACTGCTGCAGTGTGATGCACATAGGAATACATATGGGGGTTATTCCCTATCTTTATTCAAGAGCGTGGTCTTTAAATTTGAGAGCATACTTTATTGATTTCACGTTCAGAACATGTATTTCTTTCCCTCAAACCCTGTCCTCACACTCAAATAGTGCCTGCTTGCACTTATGGCGCGTTTCCACTGCAGCGGG